GTGTCATAGTGTTGACAACTGCAGCCAGGGGTGCAATATTCGTGGGCAGCTTGTTCGGGCTATAAACGCTCACCTTCTTGAGGGCTGAGATGATCTTTTTGGCCACAGAGATCTCCCCCACCAAAATGGTCTCCTCATCCCTGGTGGCTGACGGGGCACCAGCAGCAGTGGGAGCAGCTGCAGCGGCGGCAGCAGGGGCCGCCGAGGCGCCCTCGTCGCCCTCCGCAGCGGCCTCAGGGGCGGCAGGCGCCTCAACATGCGCGGCCCGCGCCCTCAGGTGTTCGCCGGTGCTCGCCATTGGCGGGCGAGTGGACACGGGGCACCCATGGCGTGGGGCCGCCAGCGCAGCAGTGCGAGCGTTGGGCCGCCTGTGGAGGCCGACAGCGGCGCACGTGCCACGTCCAGCAATCATGGTGCAGGATTCCAGCTTCATGCCCGCGGTTTCGTATGCCAATGCACACCGGCGACCACAGATAGTTTTTGTGATCTAGTCTATTCAAATTGTTGCGATGGCATTGAGGAGAGTATCGCATCAAACTCAATCATGCCAACCCGCTGATGACCGCAACGATTTAGTGAAGCAGTCTCGGTTGTGTCACCCCACCGTTCACAACGGTGTCTGTGCTCCTGGCATGGCGCATCACTACTGTGATAACTTCCAAATTTTGTGCTAATATACGCGCCACAATGCCGACACATTTGAGGGAGGCGTGGTGCACGGATGAGCACGACGGTGTAGACGGCGGTGCGCCTCTCATTCCACTCACTGGAATTTGGATAACAGCTGTTTTTCATTGCTTGTTCACCTGGGTCAACGACTTTTGAAGAGCTTGGTGGCCGTCGCATCAGACTACCCATTTCGGAGTCTGGAAGAAGGAAAGTTTTCATTTGAATAACATCAGACTTTAGACAGGCGTTTTCTTGCGGACGGACGCTCGGTTCCTGGCTAGCCCAACTGTTCCACCGGTGGAGCCCTCGTGCCCTTCGCCAAAGCTTGGAGAGGCCCCCGGGCATAGACAACCAGGGCCGTATGGTGAGAAGATTTGTTTGCGAAGACCAGACCCGGCTGCTGCGCCCTGCTTGCTCCTGTCGGGCGGCGACCAGGCGCTGCTTGCGCGGACCGCCCTGATGATGGATTCCTGCCATCATGCCAGCGCTTGAGTGGCGTGGACGGCAGTTTGCAAAACCTCATGCACTCAACGCTCAGGCCTGCTGATCGATCAAACAAGGGCTGGGAATCACCGCACGCGCCTGCGATCGCCAGGCGGACGGCGACCTCGAGCAGTGCTGGATCTGCCTCGATGACGCGTCAGAGGACGGCAGCGCGCAGCTCATCAGCCCCTGCAGGTGCCCCCGCAAGGTGCACCCCCAGTGCCTCGCGCGATGGCAGCTGCAGCAGGCGGGCCGGCACGAGGAGAAGTTCTGCAGGTATGCCGGCGCGGGGGATTGGGGCAGCGGCGGCGGCCGGCGGTTGCTGCCAACAATCCTGATTGCGGGCACCCGCGAGGCCCACGAGGGCCCCCCTTCTGGATCCCCTGCCGCCGCAGCCTCAACAGCGGTGCGAGCGGCCCGCCCACGCGGCGCCGCTCCGGCCGCCGCCCTCTGCACCCCGCCGCCTGCGCGTGGCTCTCAGTGGCCCCAACTGCCCGCCCGGCCCCGGGCTCGCGGCTCGCCCCCCCCCCCACACACACACACACCCTTCACGGCCCCCT